GACTCCAAGATTTCACAACTGTATTTCAAGAAGAGTCAGAAGTTGCTGCCGTGTTACAAGAGCATTTGAAGATCAGGAGGCAGCTCATGGTTATAAGTCATAGATTCAGAAGGTTCATTGTTGCAGGAACGGTTCTCGTTACTGCAAGTCAGTTTGCAGCATTGCTACTGATTACTAGGCCACACGGTGACGTTAATTTATTCAACACTGGAGAACTAGCGGTAAGGTTCTTTTTGGCTTGGAGATAGCTATTAATTCTCTTTATATTTGAATGAAGCCCTAAAATTGCTTAGTAGTAAGTTATTATTGAGAGGATGCATTCTAAAGCTAGCAGATTTGATCAAGTGAAGAACATGAATGTGAAATACATTGACACTAATACGGTTTTTACTCCACTACATTCATCTCATTCTTCATTTGTCACTCAAATCAGACTGGCAGATTGTGAACAGACTCTAAAGCAGAAAGAATAAAAACTCGTTTGAGATAAGATATCCAATTTGCATGCTGTTATCTGAGTCAAATGGTTCCAATGTTATTCCTATTTTCCTTTTACCGTGTTTAAAAACAATGGCAATCTCATTATTTAATTCAACTTTTGATTTATGATTGTAGATTATTGACAAAGGAGAAAATCACATAATGTATGGAAATTTCTTGATTAGTTAGTATCTGCCTTGTTTTTATTCTATTTGAGTATTAGGCAATAACCATCTTGAAAGATAGCTCATAATCAATCATTCATAGTGGTTTCCATTAGGCTATCCAATATAAACTTAAAGATAGTTTCAGTTTGCAAGCTACAGTTTGCAAGCTATCCAATATAATCATTTGTACTTGGTATATTTTCATTAAAATTATATACAAACTTCAGGACAATCATAAATTTTCTCCCTATATCTGAACTGGAGGCAACCTTTCAGATGCTTGTCAAAGAAACAATCGGCTGTGGAGTGAATTTTGTCATCTTCTCCCTGAGTTTTCTTTATTTTTTTATTTTTAGAGAACGAACGATTTTTCCTCTCAAGATGTTGAGCATTCGATTACTAAAGAGAGCTCTCTATGTGATAACCATTATAGCACCGATTTCAAGCTTATCTGCAGTGTGCAAGAGCTTATATTTCAGGGGAAAATAAGTTCATTTTGTTTCCAGCGTGTTGTTGTTCTCTGAATGTCATAAATCTATATGGAGCATTCCCTTAGCAAACCGAGTTTCTGAACTGCCCAAGTCCTCTATGCTTAATTTACCTCGGGCTATTGCTGCATTTTCTTTGAGCAGAATTCGGTCCTGCTTTGTGAAACTAAGCATGTTCATCTTTCCAATTTTGGCAGCTATGCTCAGTGGGGCTTGTTACAGGCCTACTAATATGCTTACGAAGTGCCACAAAGATAACACACAAGGCTCAGGCTCTAACCAAGCACGCTGCAAAATGGCACGTATGTGCTACTATAGACTCCTTCCCTCTTGATCCCGAAACTCCGTCTGAAGTTGTTCCAATTACCAGCATCTTTCCCAATAACATCCTTGAGAACGAAGAAGAGTCCAATGAAGAGGCTGATGATGAAGATGAATATGAGGCGATGAAGTTAGTACCCCCTCATGCCCACACGATTTCTTTCCAAAAGAGACAAGCACTAGGTGAGACACTGATTCAATTTATCTTAAAAGGGTTAATTGCACATAAGACCCCTATTACGTTGCACTTCGAAACGAATTACCATGTACTTTGATTTTGGCAGACATTCCACCAAGATGAGTCTTTTTTAATTATTTTTATCTTTTAGCCTCTGCTAGATCCACCAATTCAATATTTATTAAAAGGGTTAATAGCATGTAGGACCCCTGTAGTATAGCGCTTTGGAACTTATTACCATGTACGTTGATTTTGGCAGATAAACCACATGGATGATTTTTTTTTAATCATTGTTCTTTTAGCCTCAGACTCACTAAATTCACTGGGGTCGTATCTGCCAAATTTTCACCCAAGGTGAAAGAATAAAAAAGGAATTTCACTCCTGAGGTCTATCTGCCAAAATCAAACTAGAGAGGTGATAAGTTCCAAGGCATGATACTACAGGGGGTCCATCTGCAATTAAACATTCTTAAAATTAGTTAAAGTTTTAATGGTGTTCATTTGTTGTGGTTTGTAATAAATGGCAGTGACATACTTGGAGAACAATGCAGCAGGGATCACTGTTTTTGGGTTCGTGTTGGATAGGAGTTACCTCCATATGGTTTTCATGATAGAGCTTAGTCTTTTTCTATGGGTGTTGGGAAAGACAATTGGAATATCGTAAAGCAACCAGTTCTTCACTTGGATTTTTTTTCCCCATTCTATTCAACTTTTCCCCCCCCTGGTGTACATCTCTGATTCTTGTGTTTTCTTTTTCTTTTTCTTTTCTCCTCTTTTCTTTTGTTTCAATTTCGAGGTCTAAGTGGAGTGTGATTTTTGCAAGAGTTGATGTGTTTTATTGTGTCATATATTCAATTTGTTGTAATTGTTGTCTGTTTCTTTTGTTATTGATTATTGATATACCAATGTAAAGTGCTATCAAATTTATGAGCAATTGAATTGTTTATTGTGCGACTATATTAAAAGAGTGGTTTTCTTGTATTTTTCTTTTTCTTTTGAAAAATAAACAAATAAATGAACAAGGAGCTTCTTGTTTAAACACACCTTGCCGTGTTGTTTATATGACTAAGTTATTTTCATCTTGTTTCTATTATTTGCATGAACTTTAAACTTCCGTTACCCCTCTCTGTACTAGTCTTATGTACAGCAAGATTTCTGTTTGTGCACTTGCAAATTTAATTATCGGAAAACAGTGCTCATTATTTGTTCATAGCATCTTAATTGGATGCAGCAAGGAACATGTTATTGTTCTCGAGTTGCAAGTGGATTATCTTGTTGTACAGAGTGCAGTAATTAATAAATAATAAAAATATAGATATTATTTTAGCATCAACTGTGGACATACTAGAGATAAAGTTGGTATTCGGAATCATCATGCTCCTATCTATGTTGTGCATCTTACATTTTCTTATCTTAGCGTGTACAAATATTAATATAATGCTATATTGATTATCATATCTAAGCTATTCTTTTAGGTACTGTTTGGCAAAGGGTTAAGTGAGGGGTTAAGGAGACTTAACCCCTTCTTAACCTGCCAAACACAACAAATCTATATAAGGGTTAAAGTGAGTTAACCCTTCATAATTTGTCAAACATAAAAAATATAGAAGGATTAAGTTAACCCCTCTAGAGGGGTTAAAATGAGTTAACCCCTCAAAATGAGGGGTTTACTAATACTCCTATTTAGATGGAATAAGAGTTAACCCTTCTAATTATAAAGAAAATAGTCAAAATCATTGTTATTCCCAAACACTAAAATTGATCATAAGGGCTAAAATAAAACTTATTTAACGGGTTAATAATTTAGTCCTTCAGATTATCAAATGGGCTAAGTACATTAATCTTTCTCTTTAACCCCTCTTCATTAACTCTTTGCCAAACGGGGCCTTAGAAGTTAATGATGCTTATGTATGAGTAGGCATCCAACATATACGTGCTAAAATTATGGAACCTTATTTCAGAAATATAATACCAGTTTTTTAAAAAAAAAAAGTGATATCACATGAAAATGCTAAAATTATAGAACCTTATTTCAGAAATATAATACCAGATTTTTTTTAGAATGTGATATCAGATGAAAACACAATATATTCTTGTGAAAATGTTATGCTACAAAAACTATTAATTTGGATTATTTTATGAAAGGCCAAAGAGCATGCTGCTTACTGTATGCATATATTTTAGTCAATATGATGGACCCGATTAAAAGAATACAAGATTTTCAAGTTGATAGTTACAGAAAAAATATATGTCCCATTGACTTCACGTCACCAGTAATGGATATGTTTTTATATTTTTTTTAATTACACTTCTTGGAGTTCTCAAGTTTTACTTTTCAAGCATTTTGGTTGAAAAATGAAAATACAATAACACATCTGTAATTTTTTCTCAAAAAAAATTGTACAACTATATTTCCGCTTCTCCTTCTCAGATGCTTTCATTTCCCTAGCGTGGGAAACGCGCTTCAAATATTCAGCATTATACAACTCCCATTTGCTCTTTTTTTAAAATATTTGGAAAAAAGGGGGAAAAAACTATATCCCACGGTTTGCCGCCGCCGAAATCGCCGTGACTGCGTTCAGCTCGTATTCCGCCGCCTCATACACATTACCCAAAACGCCACTACTTCGCCCGCTACATTCAGCTAATCCCAAGGTCATTTTAGTAACTTCCACAGCCAACCATGGGCCCTTTCCAAATTTTTTGGTAGCACGTACCAATCATGCGCCTGTCGGTCTCCAGCGTAAGGTCCTCAATTTTTAGTCAATCCCATCGACTGCTGAACCCTGCACAATGGGCACCCACATCTAATTGTTCATCCATATAAACCCCAAGCTCCCCCAGAATCTAATCACACAGTACGAAACAGGGAAGGGAAAAATAAAGAAGAAGACACAAAGAACGAAAATTTTGAAAAAAAAAAAAATGGTGAGCAAGATCCATTACTCCCGTCGAAGAACCTCTGCCGCAGCTTATCTCACATGGACGATGAGCTCCGGAGCTTCCATCGTGCCTCCGATGGAGTGCGTCGACCAATCGCAAGCGCATTTCGATCCGTCGTCTCTTATTCTCTCTACATCCTACTCGCCGTGTCTGCCGATTACATCCCACTTCGTCTTGTCCCGTATCGAGCACCGAAGAGTTTACGAGTCGGTGTGTTCCAGCTGTCTCTGACCGGCCCCCGCGCGGGGTTTCGGGGGGCTTCAGTTAGCTTTCCTCTGCCTTTCTACTTTTTTCCGTAAATACGGGCTGAGGAGGTTCTTGTTTCTCGACAAGTTGAGGGGGGAGAGCCGGAGGGTGAGGCTCGGGTACGCTTCGGAGCTCAATCGGTCGTTCCGGATTCTGGCCTTCTTCGTGACGCCGTGTTTCGTCGCAGAGTGCGGGTATGTTTCAAGTGACATGTTGAATTTCAATATGTTGAATTTCAATATGTTGAATTTTTTTTTTAAGTAGGAACGAACAATATAAGATGTTCATAATGTATTTCGTCATGAATTTTTTAATTTGTAAACATTGTCACATCAAAGCGCAAAAAAAAAAAAAACTTTGGGGTTTATTAATTGTGGATATAGACCTATGTAGTTCTAATGTTGCGGATGGATACCCTTACCAAATTTAGAAAGTGGTCGCTTAGGGCATCTCCAACAGTTTCTTTAAAATTTTCTCCAAAATGGGGAAAGAAAATTCATATTCTCCAAATTATTTTTACACCAACTCCAACAGCTTCCCCATTTTGAAGAATCCATTTTTTCCTCCAAAAATTTGGAGAATGTTGCAGATTTGGGGAAACTTCCCAATTTTTTCTCCTCCATCCCTATTTTGGGGAATAGGATGAGGAATCTGTTGGACCAAAAACCTAACTAAATTCTTCAAAAGTGGGAAATGGGGAAGCTATTGGAGATGCTCTTAGAAAACTCATTGTGATCGGAATTGCAATGCTGGCAACAGATACAAGATATGGTGGTACTACAGCGGGGCTCGAAGAATCCCCTTCTTGGGCAACGCGATAGCGAGCGACATGGCGGCGTGCGCCCTCGAGATAGCATCCTGGCTATATCGCACGTCGATGTTTTTACTCGTGTGCGTTATATTCCGCGTGATCTGCTACCTCCAGATCCTGAGGCTGCAGGATTTTGCTACGGTGTTTCAGGAGGAATCGGATGCCGCTGCGGTGTTGCAGGTGCATTTGAAGATAAGGAGACAGCTTAGAGTCATCAGTCACAGGTTTCGCAAGTTCATCGTTGCGGTGGTGATTCTCGTTACGGGAAGTCAGTTCGCCACGATTTTGCTGACGACGAGGCCGCGTGCTGAGGTCAATGTTTTCAACAACGGGGAAATTGCAGTACGTTCATGACCCTGATTCAGATTAGTTACATGACAAGTCCAATTAATCGTTATCAAGTTCCTTCCTGCACAATTTGCATTGGTGGGAACTCTGATTCTTCAGAATAATTGCATACAGACACCCTGCAGTACTGGTTCTTTCAACTTACTACCCTTCTAGTTTCATTTTGACAGGTAGATCTTCGGATTAAAGCCTTTTTAACCCTCAGATAGACTCACTAATTACATCCTGGTGCAATATCTGAAGAGTAAAAGAAAATCCAAGTCATTGAGTCAATCTGTCAAAAATGAAATTTTACAGGAGTAGTAGGCTTGAAAGAGCGATACTGTATAGTGTCAGTGCGAAATTAACCCTTCAGATTATTATCTTCTTCTTCTTCTTGACAATTTGAACTTTGTCTCGGGCTAAATATATTTTGTTTCTCGACATTTTTGCAGCTATGCTCAGTAGTCCTCGTCACGGGCTTGCTGATAACAGTGAGTAGCGCGGTGAAGATCACGCACAAGGCTCAAGCAGTGACCAGCCTTGCGGCAAAATGGCACGCGTGCGCGACAATAGACTCGTTTGATGCTGACCTTGAAGCTGCATTAACTTGTGAGATTGTCTCTTCTGATTGTGTCGTCCCTGTGAATGTTAGTGTCGAGAATGATCAAGAACCTGAAGAAGTAGAGGGTACTGATGAGGATGATCTTGAGAGCATGGAGATTGTTCAGCCTCATGCACATAGCATTTCCTTTCAAAAGAGGCAAGCATTAGGTGAGACATCGAGTATACTCTTTCTTTCTTTCTTTTTTCCCCGTAAATCTTAGGAGTACTTTATGACAATTTATCTTTACTAATGTCATGTTAATTGCAAGGTGCTTTATTTTAAGTTTTTTCTAGCATTATACTTACTTTTGTTTGTTTTCACAGTGACGTATTTGGAGAACAACAGAGCAGGAATTACAGTATATGGATTCATGTTGGACAGGACATGTCTTCATATGGTTTTCATGGTCGAGTTGAGTTTGTTTCTATGGTTATTAGGAAAGACAATTGGGATCTCCTAATGCAAATTTCTTAAATTTTTTCTGCATTCAATTTTATTCATTTTTTCCCATGTAAATTGTATTTACTTTCTGATTATATTCATTCTGTTTTGTTTAAATTGGTGTTGAGGGCTGAAGGCATATCTGTTTTCTTTTACTTTTATGAGTTTTCAATGATGGAAGCCGTGTAGATGTCATTTTATAGGAGTGGAGGAATTCTTTATTATATCATTGTAATGAATATATTATACATATATGTTCAGTTTATCCCATTCTCAGTTATATTTCTAACAGTTGTTCTTGCGACTAACTTAATAATTTATAAGCAAAGGATATTTAATAAATGTTAAATCCACATAAGAGTCTAATAATTGTAATTACATGCACATAGTTATTGTATATTGTTAACTAAGCACTTGCACCATTTCGAAAAATCCGGATCATACGCATGAAATCTTCGATTTAACTTTAAATAAGAAAATGATCTTTTGATTACCGCTATCTCCTCTGAAAAATTAAATAAGTGTTTAATCGTTCCTCTTGATTACCACACATACTGATTAATAACAAAAACATCATGCTTAATTCGCTGGATCAGAAAGAAGAAAGCCTGGTAGATCAAGTAATTCTTCTGATCCCAGCATCAATCAGGTCATGCAGAAAAAATTCAAAGAGTTGTATACTTATATTACTTAAAAATATGTTGCAAAAATACATAGGCACTCAAACAAATATGACACTGGGAGCTCAAAAACCCGAAAAATGTAAATTCAAGAACCGTTAAAACATCACTCTACAAGGACGAAGATGATCTCAGCAGAATGAATAAATTGAATTAAACTGAATCAAAGGAGAAGGAAAAAAGAAAAAAAAAAGATGCAGATCTAGATTCAAGAGATCCCAATTGTTTTCCCCAAAAGCCATAATATAAGACTGAGCTGAAACATGAAAACAGCGTGAAGGTATCCTCTATCCAACATGAATCCAAAGAGTGTGATCCCTGCCATATTGTTCTCCAAGTATGTCACTGCATTTAAAAGGGGAAAAACAAAGAAAAGAGATTAGAAATATTTCATCAGATAATAAGACTATTGAAGCTAATCTAAATTCAATTAGGCTATCATTAGTAGTTAGTTCTATCCATAAGAGTTTGCTTCTATTAGGAATTGGTTCACATATTTTATCTATTGTATTTAGTTACTTTGTCTTTAGAAGTTCATATCATCTTAGAATTCTTATAACATTAAATTGCTAAACCTATTTAAGTAGTTCCTGTAGCAAGCCTGAGAGCAAGAAACATTTCTTCTTTTCGTTTGCTTCTCCCTACAGCCCTTCATATGTATATTTATTTATTTGAGTTTTAGTAGTGTTTGATCCAATAAAGACCAGATATAATGAAAATTCAATAGAGTTATTTACAGTACACCCTTTATTATTTGTAAATAATATTTTTCTCGGAAAAAGTTCATGGTAAATTTGTGCAAAACCCACCCAGATTCATGGTAATCTTCTGATATTCACCTGATACCTGACTACTTTTTTGTTTTAACATATCCATCCTTGACAGCATGTTTTTCCTAACAGTTTTTAAACTCCCATGACAATCACATGATGATTAGAATGAGAATATTTCTAGGTGATTGCCACGTGAGTTTACTGATTAACGGATTTATCATCATCAAGGAGGGACTGATGTATGCGCTAATAAAATAGAACATAAATGATAAATAGCTACAACACCCTTATAATACAGGATGTGCATATGTAAAATAACCCAATTTAACAAGAGCCAAGAGGAATGAATCACCTAGTGCTTGTCTCTTCTGATAAGAGATAGTAGTGGCATTAGGCTGCACAATCTTCGTCGCCTCAAGTTCATCCTCGTCACCCTCTTCAGATTCATCAGAATCCTCACCATTGGCATGATTAGGTTCAGGGAATGAATGGCTTGAAGCAATAAACTCAGAGGGTGTGTCTGGATCCGCAATTGAGAAGTCAATGGTGGCAGAAACGTGCCATTTTGTAGCGTGGCTCTTGATTGCTTGGGCCTTGTGGGTGATCTTTGCAGCACTGCACAAGCATATTAAGAGTCCAGTGACTAGGCCTATTGAGCTTAGCTGCCAAAATATGAAGGAAAGTATAAGATAATGGAAGAAGAATCTAAGTGCTAAACTCTACCCTGGAAAAAAAAAATCTTTTACTTTTCTTTTGATGGAAAATCATTTACTGATTAAGTTAATTTTCAAGACATCAGTTTACCTTTTTGATAAAAAAAGGGTATTACAAACAAGTCTACGTATTAAAAAAAAAGTCTCCTACTAAAAAGTTAGGATTTTCTATAGATGTTCAAAAGATATCGTGTACAACAGTATCAATATTTCCCTGATCAATAAACTAAATTATAAAAGGGTTAATTGTAGATACAGTTGTCTATGGTGGTGACGTGGTGTAGCCACTTATAACCCCATAATTATTTTATTACTCCTTACACCTCAATTTAGATGTTGTTTAACTTTTAGTTTGAGGGAGGAAGATAATTTATTGGTCACATGATTCCCACAAGACATCACAACCTAACTTGAAAAATAATATTGTCTAGAGTTCAGATATTGTTAAGTGCTAAATTGCTAACAAAACTACAGAGCATAAATGGCTATGCCTTCCTAATACACTGGATGTATCTGCAATTAGCTCTTCAAGAAATTCCTAGAGCTATTTCATTATATTAGCCGAGAATTCAACTTAAAGGCAATATTCAAGGAGAAAAACTTACAGCCAACTCTCCAGTATCAAACAGAGTAACAACAGCACTAGGTCGCGTAGTAAGTAGCAAAGCTGCAAACTGACTAACCGTCACAATAGTCAGCACCCCAATAATAAACTTCCGAAACCTGTGGCTAATAACCATGAGATGCCTCCTGATCCTCAAATGTTCCTGCAGAATAGATGCCACATCCGATTCTTCCTGAAACACCTTGGTAAAGTCCTGCAGTCTTAGAATCTGCAGGTGACAGATTAGGCAAAAGAGCACGCAGACAAGCAAGAATATCGCTGTCCGGTATAGCCATGATGCTAGTTCTAATATGCAAGCCAGTATGTCACTCGCTATGGCGTTGCCCAGAAAGCTAATTCGTCGAGCCCCAGCACAGTAACACCACACCTTGTATCTGATGAATTCAATAAATGTAATTTTCTTAGAAAAGGTTTGTGCCTGGGATTTATTGCTAGTAAAAAAATTTAATATTAAAATGATGAAAATATGGTGGAGATATGAGTATAGACAAAATTTGTACAAATTCGTTGCTCACATTCTATATGTAAAAACAAATATTCTGGGATTCTGAATCAAGAAAAAACTGTTACATGAATCAGAGAAATTTATGTTATATAATCTATTTTATGTCGTTATGGGTATAGTTACTCAAAAATGAATTTGCCATGGATATATGAATGATGCATAAATACTTCTGTATTTGAAGAGTCACCGTGGATGTGCATCATTTTTACATATAAAAAACTAATTATCTGGAATGCAATAGGATCTTCGGAAAGTTAAATCACTATGATTATCACAATAAATTCAACCAGAAAAATCCAAACATAGTAATTTAAAATTACCCGCATTCAGCTACAAAACAAGGCAAGACGAAGAAAGACAGAATCCTGAACGACCGATTAAGCTCCACCGAATACCCGACCCGAACCCTTTCACTGTCTCCGCATATCTTATCCAAGAACAGAAACTTCCGTAACCCGTACTTTCGAAAAGAAGCAGAAAGGCAGAAGAAAGAAAGCAAGGATGCAGCAGTGAGCGATAACTGGACCACAGTATCATAAGGCCTATAATACTCAGGAAGCACAAGGAAAAAGTGCGACATTACAGGTACCACAATTGCTAACAAGAAAAAAAGCGAGCATGAGACGAGCGTGTGACACGTGGTGGATTGGTCGACGCACATCCAGCGGAGACATGATCGGAACCATTTAAGCTCGTCGTCTGGGCGAGAGACGCAGCGAGCAAATGCCACGCTTTTTGAAGGTAGCAGTGGTTTTTCTTTGCCCATAATTGGGTGTAGACACGAGACTTATTGGTACCAAGTAGTTCAATGGTCAGAGGCTTATAATGGTACAGAGAAGAATCAAATAAGGAGTAGGTGTCATAATTGATCCTGGATCGATAGTTTATGAAGAACGAAATGTGAAATGTTTCAAGAATTGAAGCTGCATGTCGAAGTGTGATTGGTTAATGAGATGCAGTTTCAGAACTGGCAAAAGTCTAACACTGTCATTTCAACAATATAGTTATCACTTGAATACTTGTCAAAAGAGAAAAAGGGTCGGTCAAGGAATTTATGAGTTGTTTTATACATCAAAGCACTTGAATAAGCATAGAAGAGGAGAAAACATTTTCCCGTGTTTTAATTCTTATTAAGGATGAAAAGATTAAAAACTGACAATCAAAAGAAGAAAGTTAAGGGGAAGAAAACAATAATAAAGTGGATCCGAGCAATAGAATAGGAGTCCAACAGAAAAGAAGCTAATACCAAATTTTGGGCAACACTGCATGTGATAACTTAGCTGGTTGTGGCTGTTGGGACCCGTACCCAGAATCATCAAGCTAATAATGGTTATATAATAGGAAATTTTATCAACAAAAATGCAATATAAAGCAAATCAAACATTTAGTAATTATGAACGAAACGGTGCCAAGGGATAGAGGTATACCCTGTGGAAGGTGACCTAACATGCAAAGAATAAGATTGTGCTCAATTGTGCACCTCCTCTCCATTTTTATATAAGAAAGAATATGATGGCAACCACAAACAATAATGGAGGCCCACAAGCTCTAGATAACTGGCAAAAGATAATTTTTATTAACAGATTGGTTACCTTGGAGACTAAAATTGTGGAGCCGTGTTTTCCTCATTATTATCTCTGAGCCAAGACAATGCCACGTCTGGAACTGGTAACATGGAGACAGCCCACACCTGCTTTAAGTAGTAGTAGTTAGTTGCAAAAGAAGTGATAAAAAAAGATGGACAAGTATAGAAACTTATCCATAGTCAAAGTCTCAGCTAACGACCTGAAGACAATGTATGTTCAACGTGCCTTGGGCTCTACATCATCATAGTATTTCAGTGACAAGGGAAAAAAAGAGAAATATTATGGATGATGTTGGCAGCTTCTTACAACAGAAAGCAAAGGGGAAAGCCAGCTTGATTTCAACTAGCAAAACTATGGCAAACATTAAAGAGCAGATTTCAACCAGCAAAAGAAACTTTGCTCCCCAGAGGGGACTGAAATAAACTTATAATTCTTTTGAAACTTATAATTCTTTTCAACATAATATATTCTATACTTACACATTTACATCACTGATGCCCTGGTATGTGGTGAAAACAAAACCAGAAAAAGGCAACAAGGGATGTGATTCTATACTATTACAATTTATTGTGTTGTATATTTTGACATGTTTACTCAGAAACATTAATTTATCCACGAGAAGTCAAGGATTTTTTAACACAATCTACAAAGCCCTCGCAATCAATTTCAGACACTGAACAGCCCGAATCATCATCTTCTTGAAGGCTGGAATGTGGTGAACGCAGATTCCCATGAGTTTGGCAGGCCTTCATTGTCTTGCAATGCTCCAACTCATCGTCTCTTATGTTTACAAACACATCATACAAGTTCTCTGCATGATAATCGTTAAAAGATTACTTTTGATTGGCATTCAAATCAATTGTCTACAAATTCAAAGGTGACATTTATGTTTCTTGTACCTATCTTTGGCCTCCTGGTGTTTGGAGTTCTGGCTGTTTGGAATTCATCTGAAGCCACAGAAAGAAAAAGTTAAGAATAACAGGCTAGAAAACAAATAATGAGTCTCCAGGTCAAAAAAGTTACCAAACAAGTACAAGTCTTCATTCATGTAATATTTCACGGCAATCTCTGGAGCCGGTAATTTTTTCAATTCATCTGAAAAGGGGAAAAAATCAGCATCTGAAACCAAATTTCAGCATATATCAGCCATTCATCTTTGTATCGCAAAGATGATTTTCAATCATTTTTTGCAGAAAATATTTTTGTAATGCAGTGCCAAAATGTGATCGCTAGTTGTAACTGCAACTACAACTGTCTTTTAAAAAAATTACAATTGCATTACAGTTGTACGTTTTCATAAACACACGTACAGCTATACCAGACCAAGCTAGTAATCCCATGGTTAAATTTAGTCATGGAAGTGAGGGTATTCCTAAATCTAAACATAAGAACTATCAAAATGCCTGGTTGCAGCTATTGCCTCATTGGTGCGCTGCATTTGACTGCTTGATTCATGATGATAACACATCTTAATATGTAGGTAATTAGTATATAATACATCTTCAGTAAAAAGTGTGGAATAAGACCAGATATAGACTTTTTAACAGAACTTCTAAGATTGTATAGGTTTGCCAAAAGTTAAGAAACAATGCGAATTTTATAGAAGATATTCCCAAGTCGACCTTTATGAGTGGGTGCCCTTTGATGTAAGGTATTATCTGGTACCTTGTACACATCAGTCCTTGCAACTTCCTTCTAAACCTTTGGTTGCTTCAAGTGTGTATGTCTATTCTCATCTCAATCTGCACTTACTACTCCTTATACACATGATAGGAGAAGAATATGAACTATGAATCATGCACAATTATATGTTTCCATAGATAAATTTCTATATTTGCTAAAAATGATGTTTCTCTTCCTAGAAGTTTTCTTGTAAATGATGCTACCCATTGCTTGGTAGTTTCTATTAAATGCTGCATTCACTACTGTTTTCCAAAATGCTAGAAATAAATTCAGAGAGCAATAAAGGTAATTTTATATATCAGGGGAAGTTGGAGCCTGCGTACTTGGAACGGTCAAAAGATTCTCTCAGAAAACGGACCCTTAAAAGTTATGTTCTTCTAGGGTACAACTTATAATTTAAAATGGCAAAGCTTTCCCACTGAGAAATTTGGATCTAACACAGAGGTCGAACTGAATATTTACCTCCTCGAAGCTTTAAGAATTTATCATATGTCGAGTATGCATGCTTCTCCACACATTCTGAAAAATGATCTGCAGATAAATGATACTCAACTCATCAAATTTCAGAAACCAATACAAAGATGGGTAATCATTGCCATGCAATAACATACTGAAAAAGATATTGACAGACAGGGTTCTGATATTATTGCAATGATGATGAAACAAACATAGGCTGTGACCACATTTCCCTAGAGCACAAGTTTCGTAGTAATGGTTGCATAACCTTGATTCACGGTATATCTGTGGATTAATAAACTTAGATATTTGCCACCTCCAAAAACTAATTTATAATGGCAAAATCATCTATAGTAAATCTGTTAGCTACATAGGTTATTAGTGAAGTAATGATACGTGAATATCATCATATGCTAATCGGCCAGTTCAACTTTCTTAAGCAACTGGAAATGTGCTAAAGTTTTAGAGGTAATTTACAGTTGTCATCATGAAGCATAAATGAATATAAGGGCTTTGATTATCACAAGTTATAGTCAGGTAAGATTCAACAACACATAAATCACAAATATAAAATTAGGTGAGATGTGAGAACACTATCAGAAGGTAGTAACTCAATTGATCTAAAGACTGGCATTCACTAATATAAATATGTCAAATGTTAATAGACGCTGCAAATTATAAGACTCAAATACGCATGCTGCTTTTCAAGAAAATGTCAAGTAGGGACAGATTCATGAAATTAGGAACTACTGCACAGTAGTAGATAACCGAGTCAACAGAAACAAGGAAACATGTGTTATCAGATTTGTAGAATTATACCTATAATATACAGATAATTAAGTTGGTAGAAAAATTATTAAAAGCAGGCACATGTTCAAGTGGGGAAAAAAGCTTTCAGCACAGCATTAAGAAAATCAAGACAAACAGAAACCTCACCAGAACAACATGAGACACTGGGCTATTCAAAATTCAGCTTGACAAATAGAGAAATTAAATAGAATGTAAACGTGCGCAAATTAGTATAATATGTGAAATCACTGTACTCACATGCCATTCTCGGGCTCAATGCATACATGAAGACTATCATGAAGTAATAGAATATTGCAATGTGCTGAGCAAGAAAGCGGTCAAACCAGAGAGAGTTACCTCCCAGTTCCTGATAATGAATGAAACAAAAAGATGCATAAGTTGATGATAGAGATCGAAAATAGATTTAAGGCATTCAAGACTAATTCATCTTCCACCTTGGCAATATTTTGCAAGTGATATTCATGCCATAAACCAGGGAAAAAGATATTAAGGTAAGACATTCTGCCATAGAGCCTAGAATATCAAGTTGCATAGAACGACACCTTATAGTATAGATAACAGCATAGAAGCAATTCTCGAGTCCCTAATACAGGGACCTGCCAACAAGGGGAGAGCAAGGCCTGCTGCAGATAACTACAACTATCTATCAATGGCCACACAGCACAAGCCATGAAGGAAAAAAATGTAAGAAAACTCCAAAAATTAAATCTTATACAATAATACAATACTTGCAGCTACAAGTAAAACAATTAATCTGATACTGTAGAATAATGATAGATATATCAGTGTGGAGAAAAGTGAGCTATCCAACACTTGTGCTATCTTGAACAGGCTACAACAGAGGACAGACCAAATTTTTACAATCAGTTTGTCAACCTTATACCGAAGATGCTATACAACTAAAAAAAAGGTTATTCGGAACCTATCAAATCGGCTACATGAATCAAAAGTCAGATATAGCCAATAAGTTTGACCACCACGTAGATGCAGCAAGAAAAAAGCTTCTAGTTGGTCAATGATATGGGCCAGTTTAACTTAAAACATAAAACAAATCCCTCCATAATCAACATCTCCATAAAGAGCTGCAAAGATTCATTCACTCATTTTACTTTTTCCCAATCAAGCAGGTTAACAGTTAATAGCTAAATCTGATAGTTCCAAAGTATGTAATCCAAATATTTATTAGCAAGCTAGCACACTGCAAGTAAACTAAACTATACATGCAATTGAAAGCCTAAAGTATATAAGAGATGAAAACAAAATAAGTCAAGGTAATTACTGCTAAATAAATGAGGTCGTTTTCCATTTTGGTGCTAGCACTGTGTTTAATTTATACATACACATGGTTCATGTAGTTGAAAATAAATTAATAAGACAAGTTTGTCAACTTGTTATATCTTAAGACACCAAACTCCTATCAAACAACTAAGACTACTTTGATGAGCAAAACCAAGGAATAGAAAAAGAATAAATAGGTAGGCAATTAAATAGAAAGTAGTACCTCCATGATAAGTAGATGATGTAATTCATTCCAACTCTCAGCAAAATGCACTTTCAGATAATCAGCTCTTCTCCACCAACCAAAACTTTCATACATGTGCAGAACAGATATGAAGGCTGCCCCAATAGAAACAAATTGAGAAATCAGGCTAGCATTATCATGCATGCTTTTTAGCTAATAAACCAAAGTAATATCAAATACAATGATCTATGATAATGTGCATAAACTATTCAACAACAAAGTAAATTAGGAGCAACTTTTAAATGTAGATCAGCACAAAAAGGAAACTAGAATACTCACAAAAATATGGTACCCTAGCTATTGTTTCTAGCACAAAAAATCTTGCATAATGACGATCACGGTAAAATGCATCCAGTATCTTTATAACTGAGTCCTGCAAGAATAAATAACAAATTTACGTGTCAACCAACTACACATGAGTGAAAATAAAATGAGAGAAATGAGACAATATTAAGAGTATAAATTGGAAAATGGGAAAACCAAGAACATTTATTTTCAGCGGCTGAACCAAATATAAAGCAAGTCCGTAGAATTACACACACACACACCACAAAAGGTTTTATACACATGCAATGCACGTGGTTAAAGACCATGGTTAAGTATTTTTGGCTTATTTTCTAACTAAAATTTATTCCTCAATTCCACTATAATAGTTTGTGCTCACTTTTATCTCTAAACTTTAATATTGCGATTATTTTATTTTATGTTTGTTCAAATGGGCTACACCCAATTTAAATTTTCATGTTGATATTTGAATTGATAGAAAACAAATAAAATTTGAAGCTAATTTGAATTTTTATATTATTTTGACTGACATGAAGCCAAGTTTTACTTGAGAAAGTATAGTGTTGCAAAAGTAAAAAATGTTGAAATAGTGTTATACAAGGAAGATGAATATTTAAAACCAATAAGACAAAATGATTTATTAAAAATATTCTAAAATGATACAAAAGAGAATATGAAGTTTATTCCTAATCATTGATAGACTTTATAAAAAATTATAAACTAAAGATTAATGCTAACTCTAGTATACTTTTATATGATAAAAGCATCCACATAAGCATATAAAAGTACTGAAAAAGTTCATGAAACTTCATTCTAAAGATTCCTAATTCCACTCAGAATAATTAAACTATTCTATAAAATATTCAGATAATATTATTGTCTTTTATTCCTTCTATTTTATTTTTTTATTGAGCTAAGATCAAACCTTCTTCTCCTTTATCTTTTTTCCAGACAAATCTATAGTAGTGTCTTCATCATCTACATCAATTGTGACATTAGGCTGGAGTTATATTTTTTGTGTTGTTATCTTTCCTGGGCTCATTAATCTTTTATTTTTCTCATTTAACTTCACAAAGAAGTTAAATGTATTTCCAATGTTCAACACAAACTTTTTAAAATACAGACTTTGATTTTTTCTATTTCAATGAGAATAAATGTTAATTTCATATATATAAAATTCTTTATATTCCTAATTTATTACTTAAATAAATTTAGGAGCTACCTCTTATTTTCTCTATAATGAATTCTTCTGATGTGTATCCAATAAGAGATTCTGTTATGTCAATAATAATATTTTTTTTCTATCCATGTTATTTTCCACAAAGATCTAAACTAAATACCTGTATTTTTTATTGCCAATTCGTCTTAGATTATAATATTAATATTTAATTTCTTTAGTATTTAAAGAATAAAGTATGAAATTTATGAATACATACTAATTTTTCTTATATCTTCTATGGAGAATTCTTCTTTGATTAGGATAAAATTATTAAATTATTCTTCAATATAACTCAGTCAGTGCTTGTTTAATAGATATGTCTTATCTTAATGCAAATTCGATTCATAGAAGTTTTATGAATTTTAGACTTATTTTAGCCACTTTCCTATTTGCAATGGAAATAGCTTGATTCTTTTGAAAAATATTTCTAAATTTTGATAGTTTCTCCATATGTAATTCCATGTATTTTTTACCCTATAAATATTATTAACATCAAAAATTAATATTTCTAAATTATAATCAATTAATACTAAGCTATTTTATTAGTCTTTCATCATTTTTATGGATTAAACATCTATCAATTAATGTTACTAATGTATTTTTGCTGCTCCAACTTATTAGTAAAATTATATGCAGTTACTTTAATTTATAAAATAGCGATAATTTTTAAGCTATAATATTTTTAAATTATTATTTCTTAACTGGATGTTTTTAATCAATTCTTATTGTTTTGTTGACCTGTACCAACTTAAACTATATATTAATGAAAGAATACCAAACAATTACACTTTTCTTTGTCAAGTTCTAAAACTTCAGCCTTTTTTGGTGGTTTTCAACTTTGAGGGTATGATTTGTAATTTTCAAAACTTTGGGAGTATTTTTTAAAAAAATTACTTTAAAATTTGGTGGTTGTAACTTCTATATTCATGTGTCAATGATAATTTTTAAATGTCTGGATATTTCTTGCAACTCTAAAATTTTGAGGGTGCTTTTTGAAATTATTAAAACTGCAGATTAATTTTTGAAAAATTTAAATTTCAGCAATCAACAAATATTTTCAAATTTAATGTGCACTGGTTATAAATTTTAGAGTTTTTTTGTGATTTTTAATTTTGAAGGAGTTTTTTATAATATTTGTAACTTTGAGGTTAATTTCGACAAATTTTAATTTTTTAGGTGCCTAAGGGTAATCTATTGAATTCATCTTTTGTTGTTTGCAAATTTTAAAATTTTAGGGTGGTTTTTTATAATTTAAATTTTTTGATGGCGTTTCTATAAATTTTGAGGCATTGAGGGTATTAATTAAAATTTTTAAATTTTTTTGGGGCTACTGATAATTTCATGATTTCATATTTGTTATTTTAAGTTTTGAAATGTCAGAAATTTTCAGATGCGTCATAATAATCCATTGAATTCATCTATACCATAAAGATGTTTTATATATTTTATTAATATTATTGTTAAGCTATAGATAGTTCACGTAGGATTAGGATATGATATAATTATGATTAAGATAGATTAAGATATAAATAAAATGTTCAAAATAGTGAATGAAAATATTGACCATAGAAAGATTTTCCCAAATTGATGTCATGTTTGTTGTTTTAAGTTTTGAAATATCAAAATTTTCAGGTGCATCATGGTAATCCCTTAAATTCATCCATGTTGTTTGTAACTTTTAAAATTTTAAAATTTTAGGGTGCTTGTTTGTAATTTAAACTTTTGAGGACGTTTCTATAATTTTTGAGACATTGAGGTGTTAGCTGTAAATTTTAAATTCTTCAAAAAATGTTGTTAATTTCTTGATTTCATATTTGATGTTTTAAGTTTTAAGACGTCGGGATGATTTTTATAATTTTGAACTTTTCAGGGTATTTTGTGCAATTTTAAAAAAAAATTAGGATTTTTTGCAATACTGCATGTATTATAGTATGTTAGTTACGTATAACTTCTTTATCTTAACAAACTAATACCATAAAGATATTTTATATATATTATTAATATTATTTTTATAAATTGTTAAGCACGTAGGATTAGGAAAGATATAATTATGATTAAAGATTAAGATATAAATAAAATATTCAAAATAATGAAGGGTAATATGGACCATAGAAATTTTTTCCCGAACTCGTGTTTATAAATAGAATATTTTTGAGACATTAAGGTGACACCTTAGATTCAATCTAAGGTAGCACCTTCAAAACTATATTATATGCTATCAAATTACTTAATCCACTCTATTAATTTTGATTTATATGTTTTGGATTGTATACAAATAAAAAATTAGCCATATTGGGTTGTAGTTACCCATGCATCAAGTAATTATAAAATTAACGGTTTTACAATAATATAACTAAAGAGAAAATAAAAATGTGTTAGAAATACTTAATCGTAATGATTTTTATTTTATAGATGTTTTAAGATAAATCACAATGAATAAAGCAGATCACCAATTGGAATAGTCTAATTCATGAATCAAGAGGCGCTAAATTAGATTGAATCTAAGTTGGAAAAAAATGTATATGCTTGGTACCAAGCATAAAAAGTTGTGCTTGATAGTAAGGTGTCACATCCTCCTCCACTCATTCAAATAGTTGCATATCCCCATGCACTCCTCAACCCATATGAATGTGATCCCCCATTTGAATAAGTGGAGGAGAATATATCATCTCACTACCAAACATAAAATTTATGCTTAGTACCAAGCATATTCATTTCTCTCTCTTTATATATATATGGGAAATATAATTCTAATGAGCCACCTTGGATTGAATCTAAGGATGCATCTCTCGATGTATGGATTAGGCTATTTTAATAGACGATCCGCTCCGTTCATCACGATCTAAAAAAATGCCTTAAAACATCTACAAAATAAAAATCATGATATTTGAATATTTCTAACCCATATTTTTCATTGTCTCTTTGGTCGTGTTGTCATAAAACCGTTAATATTACTATCACTTGATGCATTAGTAAATACATGCCAATATGCGTAATTTTTGGTTTATATGCCATCTGAATCATATAGATCAAAATGAACAGAATGGATTAAGTAAACTAATTGTATATAATCTAATTTTGAAGGTGCATCTTTAGATTTAATCTAAGGTGGCTTGTAGAGGGGCGGCTTCTGGTAAGATGATAGTTGATCGTCCCAAATCCAGGCATCACACTCTGCCTATGCAATAGATCAAGTTTCAGACGAAACCATGTAGGTAGAGTCATATCTTTCCGCACAAAGAAAATCACCGAAACTGACCCTTTAGAAAAGGGGTCGAATAGCAAGCCTAGATATCCTTTCATCGACTTTATCCAATAAATACGGGATACCACTACCAGATGACCCGAAAGAAAAGGTAAGTATCCGAAGACGTGCTCCGAGGTTCCATTACGACCCTCAAACTAAAACGTTGTATCGAAAATCCTACGATGGAGTGCTCCTGCGGTGTCTGTCGGACCAAGAAGCAGAGAAGGTCATTCAAGAGACCCATAACGGCATTTGTGGTGCTCATCAGCCAAGGACCTCAATTTCAAGACAGAATCCGGAGATTGGCTTACTATTGGCTATTGGCCCTCCATGATCAAGGATTGCATCGACTATGCCCGCCGGTGCGATGCCCGCCAGTTTCATGGTGACTACATCCACCCGGCCCCAGAACCATTGCATCCAACCGTGCCATCATGGTCGTTTGAAGCCTGGGAGATGGACGTCATTGGGTCCAATCAAACCTCCCTCTATCCCTTACGCTGTGCTACCTCGCGCTGCCTGCCTTCTTTCGTTGCTTCACTCTCCTCCGCTCTACCTCGCACTGATCTTCCTCCGCTGCTCTTGCTTCCTTCACTTACTGCCTTAGAAAGGAACAAGCTTAATTGAGGCACCTACCACCTTGCATTGTCGTTCTGCTCTTTGCTCGCTGTCTGGGAGCTCCACTCATCACCCCTATCACTCGACAACCCAACCTTTTCATTCAAAAAAGTAATGTGATTCCATGTCTCTGATGATTCGGCAGGAGGAAAGAGGCATAAGGGTAAGATGCACGCTAGATATCATACAGGCACCCTTCCAGAGCGAACAACATCACTTGCTCATCACCAACTTGTCTTCTACTTTAACTCTTTGCATGGTTTGATGTTTCTTTTAACCTTCCGCATAAGAAAATTGAAAAGATGCAAACAGCTACCTAGACTTATGGCAGCAAACTAGTGGAGATCTTCACTGCGACTAATTCTTTATAAGCAATTTACAGTTGGGCCTGTTTATGGAAAAGTTGCCAAGTAGAACCAAAAACAAGCCGATGGAGAAAGGCCTCTCATATTGTTCCCCAACCACCTCTCTTCTTATTCTTCGTCATTTCCATCTACTTCTTCCTTATTCTCCCCCTATCCATTGCAAATCCTTGTCCTGCAACTTAAATATTACTTAGGAGAACATGTGATCTAAGACACAATCTCTTCAATTTCAGCAAGTTTCGGATAAACTAGAGGAACATCTTAGTATAGCTTCCTAATGTGTAAGCCATCCCTCTCTCAATTTCAAGCTCTAGTTAAAATTTAGATTTTCCAGAGGTTAATAAGCATACATCTCTGTGATTTTGCAAGACAGTACGAAACCCTCCCACAATCCTGAACAAATTCAGAAGGCATCCTCAAATCGGGCTTTCATTGAGAACCATATTCATAAATGCAACTACTGACTAGTTGTAATCTCAAACACCAACAAAATTTCAAAAGTAAACCCCTCGAGCAAGCCGCCCGAAAGAGTGCCTAAAACCAGCTCATTCACATCTCGAGGGGTTGGAATCTTCGTTGTCAAGGACAAGAATTCCGTAGACTCCATCTAATTGTCTTACATTAGTATAACATATCACGTTATCATCAGCGATAGATCAAAACCGCCATCCACGACTCAAAAAAAATACAGGAAAAAGAAATAAAAATTGAACTTACAATGAGAAGAACATTAACAGACTGCTCAAACTTAATGACCCATCTCTCCACCGCCCCCGGCTCCGATTGCTCAGCGTCCACCTCTTTCCTCTCATTATCAAGAGGAGTCCTCGCTCGAAAAGAATCCTCAGCTATCACCTCCTCATCTTTCTCCTTCAAGCTCGCAGCCCTAACCTTATATATTTTCCTAAAACTCAAGAAAATCACAAGAATTCATCACACACACAAATATGATCTTATTTCAGTGAACCAATCGCAGACAAAAATTATACCTAGAAATCGACCGCGACGAAGAGAGAGGAACGGAGGAGGGGAGAGGGAGGGGGCTGTAGAACTGAGAGGGCAGGGTTCTAGAAATTTTCGTGGATGTTGGAGGAGGAGGGGAGAGGGAGGGGGCTGTAGAACTGAGAGGGCAGGGTTCTAGAAATTTTCGTGGATGTTGGAGAGGCGAGAAATGAAGAGGAAAGAGCAGCGGTGAGAGGGCAGGGTTCTAGAAATTTTCGTGGATGTTGGAGAGGCGAGAAATGAAGAGGAAAGAGCAGCGGCCATTGATTTAGGGTTTTAGGGTAAAAAGCTATGAGCTTTTTTTCTTTTTTTTTCTTTTTTTCTCCCCTCAGAGGCCGCGGCTATGTTCGATTTTTATTCTACTATCGTCTTTTTGTGGGGGTGAAGAGAGAGAGAGAGGAGGGAGGGAGTATATTCCTCAATTTCTTCAACGGCCGACTCGATGCAGGTTCGGCCAAAATGTCGTGCTTTATTTTTCTTTTCTTTTCTTTTAGCAAATACCTGTGGTCGGCTTGGCGCTTCGATATCGTGGTCTCATTCATCATAAAATATCTTTCTTTCCTCTCGCACTACAAAAGCTAAAATCGTAATTTCTCATTTATTTATTTATTTTGAATAATTACATTTCGGTACCCTGAGTCGTGGGGTATAATGTAAATTACATAGATAATCTTCGATTCTATATATCTACATGAATGATCACATACTGCAACTTGTAATTACACGGATGGCTCTACAGCCCTATTCTCCTTCGTCAGTTTAGTAAAGAGTAATGAGATTTAATTTGGCTCGACATAAGCTACTCCGTGGTCACCGTGTAATTACAATTAGCAGTTTTAGGGCCAACCGTGTACATACATAGACTCCAGGTTCATCTGGGTAATTACATTATACATCAGGGTATCGAATGTAATTAATCTTTTTTTCATATCATTCTTTTAGGTTTACCGAATATTATTACATAGTTTGTCATATTCAATATGCAATGCGCATCATGACATAGTGTTATAGGCCGCAAGTTAACCAAGTATTAATCTTTGCTGGGAAGTCGACGCGTGTCAACCCCACGCTTAAAACCGACAACTCGAGTTGTTCCTGCGACCGATTCCGTAAGCCGACAACTTGCGTAATCGACTCGAAAGGTGGTACTCGTCGGCTTACTCACCAGATCAATCATATTGTTCCAGCCGACAACTTGCATAGCCGACTAGAAAGGTGGTGTATGTCAGCCTTCAGCCGAACAACTAGAGAGGCGGTGTGTCCTTGAACCCCCGCCGACAACGAACAACGCTCGCGTTAATTCCTCTGACAAAGTCATCATTGCTCTAGCCCTCATAGTCTTTAGGACTCATCAGCTCAGTCAACACCAAGTAGTTGTTGTCGCCTTTATACTAACTATTTAGATGACTCATCCTCGTCTGCAACCGACACCGGTAAGACACCTGCCGAGTCAACTGCTTGCTTGAACTCGACCCAAGTTACCTTTTTGCCCTTCTGATCTGCTATAAAAAAAGCCTCGCTACATGAGGTAACTTCTTCTAGGAGAGGCAACTCTGAAACTCTGAATTACTTCATCACTTATCTCATACTGCCCACTCAAGTTCATATACTAACTCCGGCCTCTCACGAGTTCTTCGTGTGCAGGAAAAAATAGTGAGCCTCATAACTAGTCATTTGAAGGAGCTTGAGGACCCAAACACCACCATCAACCACCCGCAAACCCCCTGTTTGATAACGCATCAACACATATGAAAAAAAAAGATATTCTATCTGTTTAGAAAGTGAAAAGCTCATTAAAGGCGAAAGATATACAAATTTATTGTGATTAGTGGCAAGCTCAACTCCCTTTCTGCTACATTTTGCAGAAAACTAAGAAATTTAGAAAATTGTAATAAGAGCTTGAATTTCTCATTAGTTCAATTCTTGTTCATCCGCCGTGACTGCATTGTTTGAAAAAAAAAAAAGAAATTCATGGCACTTATAGGGGGATGCATGCTAAAGTCCAAGAGATGAGGTGGATACTATCGAATGCTCATGCTGTCAAAAAATATTTTTTGAGAAAACTTGCTATCAAAAATATATACATGCATGTCACATACTATGCGGAGACAATATAAAAAATTATAAACTAAATTGAGTACTTAAGTTTCATAGATAGATAACATAATGGTAATATACATTGTATCTAACTTGTTACTTCACATGCTGTATTTCTTTTGGTACTTGTCTCCATGTTCTATGTTTAAAATCAAATGTAACTGCAACAAAATAGAGGTAGTATAATAAAGCCAAAAAACTAATATTCTCTTTTATAGATAACTCTCAAAATAGACTTTGTCTTTTTTGTTTAATCTCACATGAATTTATGACCCTTTACTATATCCAACAACATCTCTCAGAAATCACAGTGGCATTGAAATTCTTGACAAAAATGTTTTCTTTCAAGACACTCAACAAACTTCTCTGTTCACTACAAAGGTGTGAGCTCTCTATGTAAACAACGAAGTTGAAATGGAGAACATCCTCCATTTAGGCTCCCACACTCTATTCGCCACGAAGTAGTTATAAACAGAAAAGACATCCAAGTGATGGCTAACTACCTAACCTTCATGCTTGCTTGGCTTTTATTCTTTGCCTTAACATTTTTTGTCGCAATTTGGTCGTCAACTCCTACTCTAGCACAAACACAGTCTACTTCAGCTGGCATTTGCAAGTCCAGAGTGGAAATATATGGATACAAGTGCGAAGAACACACTGTAATCAATCTTTCCTCTTATTACCCTTTTCATTCACTTTTTTCAAGCTTGAAGATCGGTTTTTGTTCGAATTTATGTACAGGTAACAACAAAAGATGGGTACATTCTCAGTTTACAAAGGATTCCCAATGGCCACCATTCTGTCACAATGAAAGGAAAGAAGAAGAAGAAAATACCAGTTTTGCTTCAGCATGGGATTTTTATGGTATTGCTTGAAAATTTTCATGGTCAAAGCTAGAAATGTGCTATGAATTTTTTTTTGTTATTTTATTTATTTATTTATTTATTTATTTATTTTGGGCAGGATGGGATCACTTTTCTTCTAAATTCGCCTGAAAATTCATTAGGTTACATATTGGCAGATGGAGGTTATGATGTATGGATCGCTAACAGTCGAGGCACTAAGTTTAGCCGCAGACACACTGTTCTCTCTGTTAATCAGTCGGTCTGATATTTGTTCTATTGATGTTTTATATGAATTTCCAGATATTTTTTTTTCTTATTTTATGTTTGGATTTTCTAATTTTTATGCAGGAATACTGGGACTGGTCATGGGACGAACTAGTTGCCTATGATCTGCCCGCTTTTTATTATTATGTGTACGAACATTCAGGCCAGCAGAAGATTCACTATGTTGGTCATTCTTTGGTAAGTTTCTAGTTTCAAAAACATAAAAGAATGTTCGTATCATAGTTTTAATGCAATATTCTCTTTTTATTTAGGGAACTTTATTGGCTCTTGCGTCATTCTCCGAGATGCCTTTAATAGGAATGACGAGATCTGCAGCGTTGATTTGCCCCATAGCTTATTTGAACGGAGTGAGATCGCCAATTGCAAGAATTGCTGCAGACTCCTTTCTTGCCGATGTAAATTGAATTAGTGTTTGATAATTTCCTGTTCTGAATTTTAAGCATATACATATGTATGTATTAGTTGTTAACTTACAGGTTCTTTTTTTTTTTTTTTTGCAGGCATATTACTGGTTAGGCCTCAATGAGTTTAATCCAACAAGGTAAGCAATATGATCCTCTATTTTCTTTATCACAACTGATTAATAATTAAGTAAGATATATATGTACAAGATGTCTTGCTCAAAAACTTGTGTTGCTAGTAGCTAATACTGGTCATTCTACCAAATCATGAAAGTTTCTTTTTTGCAGTGAACTTGTAAAGAGATTCCTCAAAATAATTTGCAAGCAATCTGGTAGCGATTGTTATGATCTGGTCACAGACTTCACAGGTGCTTCTCTCTTCATGTGGAATAATCCCTAAGTTTTTTTATTCCGAAAATAATACATTATCCAAAATCAAGCATATAATATTGCAGGTAATAACTGTTGCCTCAACAAGTCGTCCATTAATGTATTTTTAGAACATGAACCTCAGCCAACTTCAGCGAAGAATGTCATACACATGTGTCAAAGTAAGTTTCGCCGCTAGATTACATTAAATCCCTCCAATGTTTGTAGAAAATCCTTTTAATGAAGTTTAAAAAGTAACACTTGAACCTCTTCTTTTGATTTCCCCCCCATAAAATAAGGCCACAGGGTATCGTGTTTGATAGAAAATTCAGAATGACGGGTTGAAAAGCATTGGTTTTAAGACTTTTACAGAGATTTTCTGTCATTCTGGCGAATCTTTTGGGGGTTATGATGTTGAGTTAATTGCGGAGAGACCCTCCACACTTTCGCCAAATTGAACTTACTGCCTTTATAGTTCTTTCGGTGCGGATAGACCCCATGAGTAAATTATTTTTTACTCTTTTCAGGGGGTCTATCTGCAATAGCAGAACTCTGTAAGCGGATCTATTGAACTACGGGTGTGGTAAGTTCGACAAGGAGATAGCAGAGGGTGTCCATCCGCATTTAACGCTGTAGTTTATCCTCCTCTTCACATCCAACTGACACCTGAACCTGCAGTGCTTAGAACAGGAACTATAAGGAAGTTCGATTACGGCGATGCTAGTACGAACATTAAGCATTATGGGAATCCCCATCCTCCAGTGTATGATATGAAGGCGATCCCCAAAGATCTACCTCTCTTCTTGAGCTATGGTGGCAGAGATTGGCTCTCTGATGTCGAGGATGTGAAGCGTTTGTTGGCTGATCTAAAGCCACACAGGAAGATGAAGGCGAGGGTTAATTATCAAGCATGCTATGCTCATGGGGACTTTGTTATGGGCATCAACGCTAGGCAGCTCGTATATAATCCCCTCCTTTCCTTCTTAAAGCTCCATATATAATTGATTTCATTGTACTGACTTTGATTTTGGTATAGATACAGGGTACAATTTTCTTCCGCTTTTTGTTTTCTTTTATCTGAGAGAACAAGGGATCGTTCTCTCGATTAATCAGAACTCAAGTTACCGTAATTTAGAAACGCAAAACATATACTAAAACCACATGCATAATTCCTAACACGGGCGCGTAGGGCAGCAAGAACAGCTGATACATTATAAAGCGCAAAAAAGACGCTAGAAACCTCAAGAAAATAAACGGACGCAGGGTTGTGAATTACATGTAGATGTTTGGTTTCTGGCTGAAATAATTGTGCGCGATAATGTGACTGCGAAGAATGTGGCTGGTACTTAGGTCTGGCTTCTCAGAACGGAGAAAGAGCTCTTCGCAATGAACGGCTTGCAGAGGCGGATGCGGGGCTCCTTCCTTGATGCATTTCTTCTCCTTTCGGGTTAAACCCACCATCTTCTTGATCAGCTTAGCAACACGATTGCGAAGCTCCTGTTTGTTTCCTCCCATATCTCCTTAAATGAATTTTGAGAAGAAGCAAAGAGTGAGGGTAATTAATTAATCTGTAGAAGGTTTTTAAGTGAAAATGCATGGGTTTTTTTCTTTTTAATCTTTTTTTTTTCATTCATTCAGAGTTCACATGGAGAGCATGAGGGCTGTAGTTGTTTTCCATGCGGCAAAGAGCCCGGTACGTTTCTCAACCCTGCCTGTTTTTGGAAGCGTGACTGATGATGATGTTCACCGGCGGAGTTTGTTATTTCTGTTTTTGGCCTATTGGGATGAGTGCAATGGCAAGTCTCGGCACAACTGGGTGTGCACGTACACGTGCACAGACAATTTCACGTAAATAATGTGTCAATAAATAAATGAATTGAGCTATTGAGATAGAAACGCATGGGAAGCGATCTCTCTTAACACTTTCCTGTATGATGAAGCACGCTGTCAAGTTTTGGCTAATTCGAATGCTCATGTACCCGTGCACAATTAATTTCATGTACTGCTATATTAAAAAAAAAACATTGTGAGGGTAAACAAATGTGAAAGAATCATGAAAAATTCCTCTCTTCCTAGCTTTGCTTCCATTGAGATCTTTTATTTGTTTTTACGTGCAAAATGGGAGTAAATAAGATATACGAAATAATTGACATTTTGTCCTCTACCTCCCCCTCAAATTGTATTACCTTCAGTTTTCCCCAAAAATTATTATATAGACACGACACCCCGCAAATTGCAGCCGTTAATTTTAAACCTTAGAATATTAAAATATAATTAATCCTCTTAATACCTAATCCAAATGAAGGCATTTGCGCGTGCAGAATACTAGTATGAATAAATAAATGAATGATTTATGAGCTAGAAATGTTTATGGAGCAATCTTTTTGAGCTACATATATGAAGCACATCTTAAAGTATGTAAAAAAAAAACAACAAGAAAATACACATTTATTCCAAATATTTGAAGCTGCTATGTGAATCTTATTATTATTATTTTCCATTCAACTCTATTAAAGATCTTTTCCTTCATGGGATTAACTATTATCATATCACATCTATGTGCTACTAATCAAGTCTTTTTTAAGGTCTAACTCCGGCTCTTCATTAACTATAATTTTATCAATTTTCTTAAATGGTCCATTTACTATCATGATATTCTGCATTAAGCAATTAGCTCAAAGAGGATTGCTGTCAGCTAATTAAGGCATTAAATGCTCAATACAGTTTGAGCAAATAACTCTGCAAGTCTAAAACCTTGATTTGATTTAGTTTGAAATCCACATAAACTCCTGTCAAGAAATGAAAACATATTGAGTAATCTTTACATCCCGCATCCAGCGTTCCACATGAAAGATAGCACTACATACGTAACTAGCTAGCGTTTGACACCATACATATCAAAAAATAACTACAAACAACAGCTAGAACTAAAGAGAGACCACGAAAGGTTGGAAGGTATTTGATCAAACACAAAGAGAACGCAGAAAAACATAGATCACAGATGATCGATGAATTTTGTGTGCTCTCATAACGTTAAAGCTCCTTTCGAGTTCGAGTCCTTGCCAATCATACAAGAAGCTAAGCATCAACATCAGCCGGATACCGAGACTTATAAGTCGTTTCAAGTGTTTTTGACAAAGACCGGAAGAGCTTATATCGGATTGGATTTCAATAGTCTCGAGAAGAACTGCACCAGATCACAGCCCAGAAGTCTTCTAGGCATTTTGAAATTCCCTGAATAATTTCACCCTATTCAGCTTTACATAACCAAAAAATTTTGAGTTGCTCCCTCACAGGTTTCTATTGGCAAACAAACCATCCTCCAACTTGGCAGCCAAGCCGTACCTGCATTTAATTAGTAAAAATATATTAAGAGATGTAACCACCAACCTATCCCTGTTCGTATCACACTGATGCTTGTCTGCTTTTGGTACCATCGAAAAAGAGAGGAGTATTCTCATTCTTTTGGTCTGCAAGTGCTCCTGAAGAAACAATGGTCATCAACTATTATCGACAATGGTAAGATACGAGAGACATGCTCAACATAAAGATCATCAACACTTTTAGAGATAACCGTAACTGTAAAATTTTAATAAATCACAAGCATAGGATCTAGCAGGTTTAAAGCCGTAGGAGGTAACAGATTTAAATTTTCTTCTCTCAATCAGAAATGACATGCAATTTGCATAAACCTTATGAGTGGTAATGTTGCACGGTGGAGACTAAGGCAGATGCAAGTAGGATCCATGGAGGATGAGGTAAGCAATTCTGATATTGATCACAGGAGAACACCATTTCAGAAGTCAAAGCAACACCATGAACTCTAGAAAATTGGACGTGATCTTGCCATGAATAAGTTAAAAATCTGACAATAGGTGATCTGCGACTGAGACTCTAGAGAAATGACTGCAGATGCTCAAAGCAATAGAGATGCCTGCAGCGGCAGTAGAACTGGTGTCAGAATTCAAATGACACGAGTGAAGCAGAATGAATTTTGAAGAAATTAGTAATTTCTTCAGAGCCTTTCTACTTAAATATCCAAGTGACATGAGTCCTACATTCAGCACCACATAATCATGCCCACGGCAGAGTGATAGTCAGAGAAGTATTCAAAGTTTAAACAGTTGTTTACTTAATCTGGTAATTCCATCTATAAGAACAAACATCTCGCTTTTTACTGTTTGGAAAGAGAATACTCATAATTCCACCACTTGAAAGTGAGAGTTACCGTACCCACCAATCAGTGCCAGGATTTTGGATGTCAGAAACGGATCGTATGTCATGTTTTATAGAGTCTTTTTTTGCTTCTTTGGCTAATAACATATATTATTGTATGACTCTTTTATCAGTCAAACTGTTATGAGAATTTTGACAGAAACCGGACTTGCATGTGAATTGTATCCCTAGTGTGAAACCAACCCCAACACATGGATCCAAGTGTTTCTGCCCATATGCTCCCCATCTAAAATGCAGAAGTCTCCTTTATTTATCCAGAAACCTAACCCTAATCACGTTCTATTGTTGACACTTAAGCCCTCGCCTTTCTCATCGAAAAGCCAACCATCCATCTCCCTTCTTAAACACCTGGCAAACCCTGGCACAGCCATGCTTGCTGTTGAGAGCCCATATTCCTTCACCAAACCCGCATCAAGAACAAAATTCCTTACGAGAACCCGACCTTATGATGCAACCCAGACTATAGATGAGGAGCATTAATAGCTTAAAGAAGCTTATCTCATGATTTACGCAGTAACTGTACAAATCAACAATAATATCAAGTTACAAGCGAACAACGCAACACAACCACAGATGTAGAGACAAGGCTGGAACACAAACCAAATAATCATAGGGCCACCATCCAATCACAGATTCGGAGCCACTGATCAATTAACAATAAAAATCTACCAAATATGAACCTCAGATCAGCCATTCTTATCACATAGGGAACAAATATAGGTTTCACATGCCATCACTACTAAAGCAGAGACATGAGACCAAATCACCTTTGCAAGCGACCCTCCCTGATAAAGTCTACAGAGGATATTTACATGGACTTTATAAGACGGTCTTCCTCTCAACAATTGTAAGTCGGTAATCGCAATAGTGGTCAGATTGCTTATCTAAGTCCGCCACTTCTCAGCACTGTAATATCCCTATACTGCAACAAAGATAATCTAGCTCTTCTCTGACAACATACAAGATGTACAAGGTGCCAAAAACAATAGTTTCTGATCGTGATGTTTTTAACTGTACACAGTGTAGGAACTTTTGTAGCCAAGGTTTTGCTTGCAATCCACAAACAGATGGGCAAATCCTAGATTTTAAACTGCACCTTTGACCTTGAGACAGGTGGAAGGGTGTGCAGCTGTTGCTCCTGGGAACCATATTACAATCTCGTCAATTGATTCCCTTTGACCTTGAGACAGGTCCAGTTTTCAGGGGCAAAGAAGTTGATGGGCTCCAGTCCCTCGCATATTAGACCAAAGACACGATGATGTGCCTTGAGCCGAAGATTTAATATGATGAAAGTTTACGTCAACAGTCCACTTTGGAGAAAAGATTGCCGAGGCATTTACTGCAAAGGGGTTACGTTGAATAGGAGAATTGGTCTAAGGCTCCACAACCCAAAAGCCAATCAATACCCAGAAGCTTCTGAGATCGGGTATTTAAAGCTAAGCTTAAGTAAAAGCATATGGTTTCTTTATGGATGATTCGCTCTCTTCATAAACGGTTCATCTATTTCTTTTTCCTCATTTCCCCTTTGCCCCATGCTCTGCCTTTCTCCCCTTCCACTGCATTTTTTTCGTTCTTCGTCTTCTTTATACTGTAGATAGCTACCTTTATGTCTCTGTTTTCCCAAATATCTATGTTACCATAATGATCAAGGTACCCAGTCTGCCTTTTTTGGTAATCACTCTTTAATTGTTTTGATATAAGTAGTGATGACTTTTCTGTGTGAAAATTGAATACATTTAATATTTGGCAAAAATGGGCAGATCTTGAAGTTCCTCTGGTAATTCTGTATCTTGAATAGCTCAGAGATTTGTGGTGCTGGATTTGAGACTGGTTTGTGCCTTATAACTATTTAATTTGTGTTGTTCCCTTGTGGCTAAATTTATGGTTTCATTGTGTTGTTAAGCATTAGTAACTTGATGTTACTGTTCATCTGTATAGTTAATGTAAATCATGGGAGATGAGCCTTTCTGGAGGTAAGCTCCACTCATCCAAAGATGGGTCGCATCACCCTGCCCCTTCTTATACAAACCCTAACCTACCCTTCCTGATCCATAAACTCTAAAACCAACCATCCCTTTTCTCGATAAGCGAGAAACTACACATCTTTCTCTCTCAAATCTTCAGGCTAAACCTTGTCTTCATATCTAAACGCCTCAAATCATCTACAGGAATACAAATCAAACCCAAAACCGAACTTACAGACTCGTAGAGAGATTATCTTCATCAAGTGGCTCTAGAGATTTGAGGTGATCAACTCCTGGAAACTCTTGAATGCTAGGTTCTTGCCTTTCTAGGTATAAACTCAAAACCACCATCGATCCCTTCCATTCAAGGCTAATTCCTAAGTTTGCTTGATGACTGGGGAAATATGTGTTGTTCTAGTTCACTTCGAATTAAATCTCCTTGCTTGCTTCACGTTGATATTAGGGTTTTTCTCCATTGTTAGTATCTAACCTTCTAGGCACTTCTCAAAATTGAAAACCTTCTGTTGTCTCTTGGCTGATGAAGATAATCAAGTCTTAAAAGGCATAACCCAAGTCATCTTATCATCACGTAGCATATTAGACTGTTAAATGAAGCAGGCACGACCAAAAGTTCCTTATCATGAGAATTAATTGAAATGCCCTTCAGCAATGACAAGCCAGATTGGTTTTGTCAAATGCAATGGCTGCAAGATCTCTGATGACAGAAATCTTAAATTGTTTGTTGATCTTTTACATAAACATAGAACTTATTTTGGTACATTGTATAGTTTCTATTTTATGCAAAAGATAATAACAGATCATGACATATAGAAAATTAAAGAATTGAAACAGTATAAACAAACCTTAGAACCCCAGCATAAGCAATGCAAGCTGTGGTGATAACATTTCCAGAACTAACAATTGTTTTCTTTACTTCATGATCTACATTAAGTTCTTCACCTCGTCAATGCATAAACACAATTTAGCTGACAATGCATAAAACACAATTTAGCTAAGATAATGCATGTGTCTGTGTCCAGAAGCAGTTAACACAATATACAAAACACAAAATAGAAATGCAAGTATATCCAGCATCATGCAATTGCTTGGAAAGGACATGTAGATCTGGATAGGGTGTGTCCAAATGACAAGAATTAGTAGTACCTAGAAACCATGATATTGAAGTGATTCAACCTAGATAATAAAGCACCAAGATTCATGCAAAAATTTAAGAAACGGGAGAGGAAATAAAGCACGTGCACTAGCCTAGTCCTTTTGGGCCACGACATGTCACCACCTCAAAAGTGGAACTTACTCTCGATGGCTATACACTAAGATGTATGGCATATGACCCAGACTCCCAATGAACTCAAGGATCATCATTGCTACTATTTTTCTTAGAGGAACCATGGTGGAAACACTCCATAATTGCCCGGCAAGAACATTACCGCCATAAGCAACCTCCTGAAAAGTACTTGCTTCGGAGGTTACAACTACAAATTAAATTGTAGAAGTAAACCAAAACGTATTGTCCTTGTGAAGCTACTTGGGTTCCAGGCAAGGAGAATCCAGGTTCGAGACCTGGCTAAGTAAGGCCCTCATTCCAGGATAAAAAACATATTTAGTTACGAGGATTGCAAACATAATATATGAGACTTACTTTGTCAAATCATATGGGAGCCTTTTCACATAAATTGTGCTCCAGACATTAACATTTTGATTCGAAAGGCAATGGTGACGACAGGAAAGAGAAAAAAATTAGTTCGGAGAAATAAACCTACAATTTCTTAACTCTATTAGTATTCTCCTCAATTGTGAAGGGACACTGTTTCATATCCAAAAAGCCAATCCATGACATTTGCCCTTAGGGTACCAACATTGGTTATAGGTTACTATTATCATATATGATAGTATTAATACCATGATGATATTTCACTCATAGAAAACTTTTGGTTGCTAATATGCACACAGGTGAATGTCACTGTTTCAATGATGTTAACATTTTCAGTGTTTTAATCTCCTAATGCTGATAATGCAATCAGAATACTGCAATTGCCTTTAGAGTGTCACTGCTTCTACAATAAAACCTTGCACTGGAAATGCTTTATTTATCCTGCTTTATACTGAAGCCTCTTGCAATTATCACTAGCATGATGTTCCACGTTTTTTAGTCGAAAGAAGGAGACTGTGCCTCTTTTGAACACCAGCCTAATCACTCAGATATGTGGTGTCCCCCCGCATCACAAACCAATCCATTACTGAAGAAAATCTCTTGAAGCGTCCCCAACACAGATCGCAGAAATCTAACTCAAAACCTATTAGGAGAGTAATGACTTAGTCATCTCAACTACCATTGCTTTGAGTGCGATTTTTCAGCTTCAATAATATTGTTTTAGACTCAATATTTTATATCAAGAAGTTCTGTTGAGCCTAGACACATCAATTTGAAAAGGTCAGTCAAAAAGCAGAAGGGATCTGTTCCAAAGTTACGGAAAGGGGGATAACGGCCCTGAAAGTTTCAGGGATAAAAAAAGAAAATAAACAAGAGGTAGAAGCACATATTTCCAAATATATCTGGAACAAAGCACGACATATATCGTGCAGAATGGTGCCACGCCTTTTTTTTTAACCAGAGACTTGAGCATGTACTTGTCCAAGCACATCACGAGACTTATGTAACTGGTATGGAAACAAACAAGATAATGCAAAGGATATGTTATGTGCATTTTTGGTTGATTTACACAAAAAAACACATATATCATACTCATCAATTATTATTTACCAAGTAAAAAGGATAAAACCACGACACTCATAAGGAATGAGGTACTTGTTAGGTCTCATGTTATGAGCCTACATCTTCTAATCTTGTTTTGATGATTACAAACAATTCCTAATATTATTTGTCTAGTGTTTATATTTTCTTATTAGGTATTCTAGACAAACAATATGTTGGAGGTTGGATGGATTACGTCATAACGATCATATCAAATGGAGGTTGGCGGAAATTGTGGAGTGATGCCTATGCATACTAGTCAAGATCCAAATTCAAGCTTCTTCCATGTTTACCAAGACAAGCTACAATGAACATCTATCAAGCTTGGGTAAATTAAGTTTAGGGTTTATATAATGTGTGTTAATTCTATAAGCTCAAACACACACACACACACACACACATAAACATCTTTTGTTATGTCCATATAAATATTCCATAAGTTTTCAAAACTTGTTTTGAGTCAAAAAATCAAAAACCACATGTTTTATTAAACATGTATTTTAGTGTTTTTTAATATTTCTGAGATTTCACAAATGGTAAGAGCAAATTGAAAAATTCATTTTCCAACATGTTCATATTCATGTTTATAAACTTTTTTCAAAGTTTTACATTTTTTGCAATTTATTTACTATTTTTTAAGGCTCTTCAAAGTTGGTTTTTACTATTCAAAACCGGCTGATACCACGTTATCAGTAGACTGATGAATGTGTTCAGTCGATTAAAGAAAACACCTAGAATAGTCAAAAGTTTCTATTTTATTTTGGTCGACTGACCAGTCGACTGATGATCCATCAGTCGACTGATAAATGTCGTCAGTCGACTGATGAGCTGAAAAATACCTGTAACGGTCAGCTCATCAGTCGACTGATCAGTCGACTGATGGCCCAACGACTAGTTTTCACAGCTTTCTGTTTTTTATCTTTTTGCTGGATTTGTTTGGATTTTGTGCCTTGGTTTTTCTTCCTATATAAACCTCTATTGTTCTCATCAGAATTAAGTTTTGAAGAGGGTTTTAAAGAGGAGTTTAAAGTGTTTTAAAGTTTATTTAAGTTTCTAAGTTTGAGTTAACAAATAAGAGGCTTGCATTTTCAATTGAGGAATTCATCCTCAATCTTCTTTAACTTCTTTGTGTTTATAGAGAAGTTTTTCTAACTTTTTTCTCTAACAATTTTATTATTGATTTTCATATACTTATCATTACTAGTTTGCTAATTGAGTTAGATTTTATTTATACTCATTTTATCGCACACGCCCTATTTGAGCTTGTAGCATTTCATACATCATATATTGGGTTATGGGATTGTGATTTGTGAGATTGAGCTTACATTGAGTTCTCACCTATTGTAGAGAACATTTTATTATAATTAAGCCTAATTATGAGTTACACATTGTATTATACTTGGACACCGAGAGAAGTGTGTGGTGAGAGAAGGGGTCGGTTCCAAGAGGAGTGGGGTCGGTAGTAAAGCTTAGTGAGAGGTGGTAATTCCGAACACTTGAGGAATGTGACACGGGCTAGACCAACACTTAAAGGGTGTGAAGTGTAATTACAAGTGTGTAAGTTGTAAAGTTTTCGGTGAACTAGAAAACCGTATTGTGAGGTGTAAACGTTATTCGGATGAGTATAGAAAACCCGATTGTGATAGTGAAGATCTCCTCGAGCTGAGGAGCGAAGACGTAGGTCGTGGGGACCGAACTCCGTGATCATATCTTGTTTTTACGTTTATCTTTTGCGTACTATCACTTGTGTTTATTTACTCTTGTTCATATATCCTTGCATATATCAAATTGAATATCAAAATTATTAGGATATATTTGTTAATTAATTTTAATCGGCATTAATATCTAATAAGATTAGCAATAACCCTATCATCCCTCCCCCTCTAGGGTACTTTCAATTGGTATCAGAGCTTGGTGCTTTTTGATTTGAGGTTTAACCACCTTGAGTTAAAGATCCTTTGTTCTTTTTATTGTTGCTAATCTTTTTTGATATTATTTAAATTCGCTTGCTCATATATGATGGATATGTTCGGTGTAGGCTATGACATAAATGTTGCTCCTAGATATAGTAACTTTCCTTATGATCAATGGTGTTGTAGATTCAAAATTTTTGTTGAATCTAAAAATATAGATTTATGGGAAGTTATTGACAATGCTTATATTGTGTCCGCTTCGGAGAAATCCAAGTGGAGCAAACATGACAAGAAAATGTTCACAATGAACAAGTTAGTGTTAGACGGAGAAATCCAAGTGGAGCAAACATGACAAGAAAATGTTCACAATGAACAAGTTAGTGTTAGAATTTATGCATAATGCTTTTTTGGAGCAAACATGACAAGAAAATGTTCACAATGAACAAGTTAGTGTTAGAATTTATGCATAATGCTTTTTGTCCATGTATTTCTAACGAACTTGTTCATTTTGATAATGTTTATACAATTTAGAAATTATTTGAAGCACATCAAGTAAACTTGGAGGCGATCCGACGATCTTTGGTGGTTCCCTCTTTAAGTTCACAAGGAGCCTCATCATGCACACGATCACTAGACGATAATCCTAGTGAGGTATGCGAGTCCGATAACAAAAATAATCTTACTATTGATGAACTCGCATATGACTATGAATTATTGATGCATGACTATAAAAAATTGCAACGTAGCTACATTAACTTAAAAAACAAGCATGTCGAAATAAAATCCTCTCATGAAACACTAGCTATTAAGTTTGATCTTATTACAAATGAAAATATAAATCTTAAAGAATGCAATGAAAAATTAAAATTAGAAAATGTTAGTTTGTTTCATGCTAAATGTGATGTTATGTTAGAAGTTGAGAACATAAAAAAAGAGCTTAATTCTTTCAAAATTGATCATACATGTTCTACTTCTAATAACAATGCTTGTGTGGATAATAATGAGTTGAATCATGTTAAAAGTAGAATATCTTCTTTAGATTCAACACTAAAAACTTGCATTGTTAATAATAAAAAGCTTATGGATATATGTGCAAAGTCCTGTGAAAATTCTTCTAAGAAAATTACACACTATGCACATATGTATAACAAAATTTACAAGTGTTCAATTTACGATCGTAAAGGCCATATTGCTAAATTTTGTTATAATACACAAAAACCTAACAAGCCAAATCATGTTTGTGTATCCCATCAAACTTCTTCTTCTCA